ATAGGTAAAAAGAATTTGTTGCACTGCTATCAAATGCTGATACATGGGCAACTGGTATGTTATTAATATTTCCTGACATTGCCTTGAGCTTCATGTGCAAAAGAGCTGTACTTATATCAAGATCTGGACTGTGTTACAATAAATCTATCCAAAATTGAAAATAAATCTGTTAAAATTGAACAACTTTTGCTCTTGATCTACAATTTTACATATGTAGTCAGGGTAAAGTACCCTACTTCTTAGATGCACATTTTTGAGAAAATTGAAAAACCATTGACTGTTCCAGACATGGCTCCAGAGCCACTTCCATTGCCCTGAGTAGTGTTGATAAACTCTGGTTATACACCCATAGTCCAGGCACACTCAGTTCATTTGTTCATAGACTCAATAGCTTCCAATATTTTCAACTCATTTCCCCATAGACCTTGATTGTTGTCCCTACAGTGTCAGCAGACCAAGTAGCTTCTGCCTGAAATGCCAACATTGCTTGACTATTTCACCATCCATCATATAAATTGTATAAAAATAGTGCAAACATCATGAATTGAACCCACAACTCCACAGGACATCACATGACTGAAGGAGAGAGTAATCTAGCAGCTGCACCATGCCACTGTTTAAAGTAACTAAACAGAGCTCACTAGATGCTGTTGTCATGTGGCCATGCCCAAATCTGAGTTGAGGACTTAGACAAAATTTCATTTATTGATTGTTGGCATTTGGCCACACTTGATTTGGACGTCCCACAACCTGCCCACAACCTTACTCCTCAACCACCACCATCATCCACAATTCTCACAATTGCCGCACCACCACCATCACCAATGGCCACCACAACCCACCCACAACCAGCCTGGCATGCCCCAACACCACAAGAACAACATGGCAACGCCATGTCACCAGCTCTGGCAAGAAAATGAGTGCCTGCAACATCAATGTGACAATGAGGACAATGTCAATGTCATGTGCCAAACCAGGTGAGCTAACACAACCCCTGCCCCCCATTCCTTTACTCATACAACATTCAGGTGCCACATCACTAACAGCAACATGCCAACCAAATGACGAGCAACAACTAATTTGTTGTTTGTCATCCAGATTGACACAATACAACATGTTGGATTTACAAGTGGATCACGTTCATGAAGATTAGACAATGTTTGTGTTGTTCCTTCGTGTGATGATATATATTTCAAATTATACTACGTATTTAGGTAGCTACTTGAAATTAGAAAACCTCACGTGTTTGTGA